GCTCAGTCCCTCACCTCAAACATGACTTCTCCTTGAACCATCTTCTCTGACCTCAGTACTGCCATCACTGTCCACACCCAGCACTGTACTACACTGTGGGATAATAAATTATTTGCACACAGACAAGGAAGAGAAGTATTGCATGGGAGGTGAATTTGGTTATCATGTTAGTTGCTTTTAGATTTTTTTCACAAACGAGAGGTCCATGGAAAGAAGCTCAATGTGCCTTAGCCAGTAGCTTGATTAATGGTAAAGACTTTCTAAATCTCAGGGACCAATGCTTTTTCTTTGCTTTTTTTTTCCCTCTCCCAAACATTGTCACAATAAACTTTTGTTTTTCAGGCATTTGGCAAGTTTTCCATCATTTCCCTTTATACCTTTCCTAAAATGGATTATTTTTTTGTATTTAACTCTAAGCTCTAAGGATACATGGTCCAGAAAACAAAACTTTTTTTTCCAGACAAATTCTAATGGCCATTTTTATCCTGAGGTTTTTGCCAAATTGTTAAAGCTTATAAAAGAGTGCAAATAAAATTTAAAGGCATTAGCTCCATTTGTAAGCAGATTTTACAGTATGTAATAGTATCTGAAGATATTGGAGAAATCAATGGGTTTTATTTAATCTAGCATACCAAAATAACTTTATATAAATAATGAAATAAAATATTTGTTACTAATATATATTTAATTATACTATAAAGTTACTTTACTAATAAAATTATATACTATAAACTTTAGGTCTATAAAATTAATTAGAAGAATAGGGTCTGAATATGAGCTTAGGACTCTGGCAGACAATTTATTCATTTACTCAGTGGTCATCTAGCAACTCAGTCAATACTTCTCTCTTGACTGTCTAGTCATTTCTTAGGAAGTTTTAAAATATTGGACAATAAAATATCCATTTCTCAGAATCCTATCTCTCCCATGATGCCCACTTTTCTAGTACAGCATGGCATACTTTGAGCCAACACATATTTCTTATTAAAGAGATGAAATAGTAAGTCTCCCAGGCCTTACAGATACTCCCACAAAATACAGTCTATTTGCATATATTATTGGCCACACGTACATACCCTGGTGATACCAGAAGGGAATTCTGCCAGGAATGCATTTTTAGATGCTTTTTTAGTGAGAGAGGTGCTACCACCAGCACTAATGTATAATAAATGAAAACCCCAGACTCCCAGAAGGATAAATCACCAAAAAGATCATGAGCTAAGAGGATAATATCAGAAGAATAACCTTGATTATCTGGGGACACTTAGTGTTGGGAGGATTCAAAAAGTAATCTGCCTTTGAGATGTCCATTCAGGATGCAGGTGCAGTGGAAGAGTTAAAGAAGTCAGAGCTGACCCAGTGTACCTGGTTCACCTAGCATCACAGGAAACTGTAAGGCAGGGTGGAACACCCATAGCCAGGCCTGTAACTATGGGGTGGGATCAGCACCTCTGAAGAATCACGATAGTATGCACCTCAGTGACAATACAGTCCCAACAAACAGGGTAGAAAGTAACAGAAGAGCCTGGAGACCAGGCCCTGGTTTCTACCATAGCCTCCAGAGGAAAAGGCTGATCTCCTTCCTCCCTACCTCCATAGTACACCGTAAGCACAGAGATTTTGGAGCAAGTTAGGAGGCAATGGGACAGACCAAAATATTAAATTTCATCCCAATAAAGCAATAGAGGATCAACTGAGAAAAAATAAAATAAAATAATAAATAATAATAAATTTAATCATACTTGAAGCCTGAGTTTAATAATAATTCATGCTGATTGTATATGGGACATATCTGTTTGTGTACTTTTAGCCATTAAAGTACAATACGTTCATGTTTTTAATTTGGACTAAAAATCCTTCCTTTTTTGGTATGCAAAACAACTTTTCAAGGATAAAAGTATTTTAAAAAAATAGGCTGATTTATATCCCAGATGCAAGCATCATCTTTTCTGGCTCCTGGTTACTTTTTGTTTGTTACTATAACCTTCTCCCATGGGAATTCATGGAGAATTAACAGCAAATCCCAGAATGTATCAGAATGCTCCTAACAAGGATTAATTCCTCTTGCTTTCATACAGTCCCAACAAACAGACTTTGTGGTCTTTACAGTAAAAAAAAAAAAAAAAGTGTCTGGCAAAAGTCCCTGCCTAATATAAACTCTTCCCCAATAATCCTTCATTTGTAGGTGCACAGTGGTTCTTTTAATAATAGCTCATATAATTTTATCTCATCAAGTTAGAAAAGATCTTTGGGAGGATGTTAGTTTAAATTTGTTCTATAAAAATGCTAGTTTTGAGGGCTGGGGTTGTGGCTCAGCGGTAGAGTGCTTACCTAGCAAGTGCAAGGCCCTGTGTTTGATCCTCAGCACCACACAAAAATAAATAAATAAATAAAAATAAAGGTATTGTGGGTCCAACTACAACTAAAAAATACATATTAAAAATTGCTAATTTTGATATTGGAAGTAGGGAAAGGCAATATATAAATGTCTAAGTGTTACATACTTAAGAATATACATGTATATATGAATGCAGATAAGCAACCTTATACATGATTTATTCTGATTCTTGTAAATGATTTATCAGATGAGAAATCAAAGAACATCTAATAAACATGACAAGGTAACTGATACCTTGCCTCCCATCAAAATACAATAAAACTAGCTAAAAAAAAAAAAAAAAACTTTAAGACAACTGTTTTCAAGCAATGGACAAGTAATACAGAATAAGTCTTAAAGTAAAGGAACACAAGAGGTGAGCCCTGTCTGCGGAGGGGCACAGGGAAGTGGAACCCAAACAGGACTGCAGGAAAGTGGAACCAAAACTAGTCTCACAAAGCAAAAGCAAGACTGTTTGTCTTCACATTCCCACAGCCTATCTTTACTAAGCACAAAGCCTATGGATCTCAAGAACAGAATCTGGGACTGGAATATTCAAGTTTAGGGAAGCCTCCTCTGTCCTCTCCTTGCTTTGTCTTTCACTGTTTGTCTCCCATTCCACATGGCTATTTCCAGCACCTCATAGGATTACACAATACTGTGCAGTATCCCAGAGAGAAAGACAAATTGATTTAACATTTTGGGGGTGTACACATATCCCCTAACTCATTCAAATCACAATAGTTATAATGACTTTATAATGAGATGTATAAGTGATTCAAATAAGTAGTAGTGCCAAGTCCACTGCTATTCATGGTAGTCCAGGAAGAAAAATACAATCATGCTCAATCAAAAGTTCCTATTCAAAACAATAGAAAAAAAAACTAGGAAAATAAGATAAAAAATATGACTCAATTTTCTTGTACAACAAGTGAAATATAAATAAAAAATTATATGAAAGAATCGGGGAACATACATTGTTCACTGGTTATTAGGAGGCTATTAGGAGGCAGTCGGTGATATCAGAAGTACATCCTTAACCTCTGAGAACATATAATGGAAGGAAATGACCACATTCTACCACAAAATGATCTTATATTACAGGAAAAGACAAAATAATATAACACACAGAACAAAACTGTATGTTTGTATGTTCTTTAAATGTATGTAAAAAGGGGTTTGCAGCTGAAGCATTATATCCATGCATCTTGATTCTATAAAATACTTAATCTCATATATGAAAATATTACTTTTATACAATCTTCAAAACAGAATCTAATTTTCTGGATATCTGAATACATAAACTTAATGAAAGCTAGAATGATGAAATAGCACCAAGTAAGATTATATATAATACATCCTAAAGACTGTATTTCTGTATGGAATTGAATTTTTTTTGCTTTAACTATAGTTGGAAACAATAAGGCACTTATTATATGAGGCTTAAAAACTGTTTTTTAAAGCCAAGTCACTGTTCTACTAATATCATTTTTGCAAACAGTACCTGGACCTATATATTAAGGCTAATGTAGAAAGTTAAAACTTAAATCAGTTACTATGCTCTCATTTAGAAATGTTTGTACTGAAAAAACTTTAGAAGTCTTTTTTTTTTTTTAAATCACAAAGACATATCACAGACTTCTTCATTCATGGATTTAAACTTAAGTTTTTATTCTCACCTAACGTCAAGTTCTATGACAGGTAGTAATTTGTAATTTTGTTTGAGTCACACATTTCACTGTATACACTTAAAGGCTGGTTAGTGTTTCTGAAAGAATTACTAAGTAAAAATAATTCCTTCCAATGTGACATTTGTATCTTTTTCAGCTCATCCTTGAATATATGGTAACTTTCATGTAATACCTGAAGCACGAGTTTGTTTTTTTTTAATTCTTACTTAAATCATACTCCATATTTTTGTTTTTTAGGTGGGAAATAATATATGACAGTAGAATTTGAAAATGTGCATCTCCACAAAGAAAGGTCCCTGAAATGCCCTTCACAAAAAGGTCAAGAGGTTTAATGTGACTTTCAAGGGAATACAGGGTTTTGGAAACTATCTGCCTATAGGTAAATCAGAATCTAAAGAGATATTCAGCAGGCAGAACTGACAATTCTAAGACTCAAATTTAAATTGTCCTAATAAATTCTAGTATGACACCTAATTAAATCAAAGTTGATGTATATCATATCACTACTTCACTAGAGAATAAGACAAAAACAAAAACAAAATACAATACACTCTATTTGCCTTTTATATACTAAGATGATTATACCATACACAGTTCACCTAAATTCTCTTAAAGTGAAATTCAGAACTGAAATAGCTCTTTGTACAAATGGTTTGCTAGGGCAGAGACTAGAAGAAGCATTGTTTGCAATATACAACTGTAGTAACTGTAGCCCTATCTTGTTAAATGCTACCTTCTCAATTCTGTGTCTAGAGAAAAACTCTGAGTCATTTCACCCACATACCTTGGTTTCATCTTCAAACAAATGAACAATCAAATACTTGCAAATACATTTATATCCATAGCCCATTGCCCAGAAATACAGAGAAAAACATGAATAAAAGTAGATTTATAAAACAAAGAAACTATTATACACTGTAGGCTATGATTACCTGGAGGTAGGAATTGCAGTTGATTATTAGCTAATCGAAGATGACGTAAAGCTCTCAGACGACCAATTTCTGGGCAAACAATTTCTAAGGCATTGTCACTAAGATCCAGATACTGGAGTTTTACAAGGGACCCAATAGCTTCAAATAGAAGAGAAGGGGAAAAGCAAAGTGAGTTTGACTCAAGTTTTACGGCAAATCTTAAATGAAAGTGTTTCAATCTAAAATATTTTAATGCTTAATACCCCTTCCCCCCGTCACAGTTGTTCACAAAATAGTAAAAAAAAAATCATACTAATTTTTATGTAAATGATAAGTATTTCTACCTAGAGATAAAATATAATAAGTTTAAAAAGAAAGCAAATAAAAACATTAAAAAGTATAAAAAACTGCTTAAATAAATGATTCAAGAATTAATAAACAAAAGTAATCTAACCAAAATTCTTAACTGATTTATTAGGTTTAGAATTCATTTTATTTTTAACCTATTAGCAACTTATCTCATAATGACTTACTTAAGCATTTTAACCATTTTAGACTTTTAATTTACTTAATCATAATTCTTAACTGGACTTTTTAGAGGAAAAAATTTTGAAACTAATATATTAAAGTGCTTTATAATTAAAATTCTCTAATACACCAAACAAGATAAGTTTAAAGAGATAATCTGTTCTACTTATAAAGCAAAGCTTTAACTGTATCATCTTCTAACTAAAAATTCTAGGTGTGCTTACCTTCTGGAACCACTACTATGTTATTTGAGTGAAGGTACCTGGGGCAAAAAGGAGGAAAAAAGAAAGAAAAACAGTTGTTTTTATTCAGTAATTTTGCCAGGTAAACAGTTAATAAAAGGCTCACTAGAGATTTATCAAATGTAAATGAGCCAAAACTTTCTTTCTCACCCAACTCTAATGTGTCACCACAAAATACATGTTTATCAAAGCCAATCAATTGTACTTTGAGTGTAATGTTATGCTAAAATTGCATATTAAATGCATGTACTGATTTAATTATTTTAAAATAAAAACTTGAGTAACAAATTATTTTCAACCTCATAAAACAAATTATTAAGTTTCTCTAGTTCACCTTAAGTTATTCAGATTTTCAGAAATATATTATGTAAAAAAAATTCAACCTTCTATTATTCAAGGGAGACACAACTTTTTGTTTCTAAAGGATAACATCATAAGACAAAGATATTTCTAGCTAACACGCTGAGAAACAAGAATAGAGATTAAATATTCATCATTTAAAGTATCCACAGAAATACTCAATTGTCAAGGCCAGAATTTACTACATGGCAAAAGGAATTTCAAAAACAAGAAATCAAATTCTTCTTTAAAAAAAAAAAAAAAAAAAATGCCCAGACTTAACAAGTCTCTCGGCAAGTCTAGGTATTTAACACTTTTCCCAATGAAATATCTTTAGCACACTCTAGTGGAGACTCAAGCAACCAGCAGTAACCAGCTACTGAGAACAAAACAACAGTGACTGCTAGAAATTAAGAACTAATAACTTAAAAAAATAAATTTACAACTAGATTTTATAAACCTTATGCTCAGCCCTATCATTTTATTTACTGTACTTTAAAAATAAATCCTCATAAAGTATTATAAAATAGAATTTAAATTTTTCTTCTACATTTTGAAAGCCTAAAATTAAATGCTAAAAATGTCAATGAAATAGAATAATAAGAAATAATTTTCTGAATATTATTCTATGTTGGATTAAATCAACTGTAGACAGTATTAACTCACTAAGTCTAATACAATTTAAACAAGTATGCTGTTCTATGATTAATTTAATTCCTTGCTTTATGTACATGAATTGATTATACATTCTATCTACACTGAGCTACATCCCTAGTCTTTAAAGTTATCTTTTGATAGGTAGAGTTGAGACAAGTCATTTGTTGAAACAAGTTTTCAGAGCAGTTCTCTATTCTTACTAGGAACTCTGGCATTTATGAAACAAATGCAAGTGTGTATATTTTTGGCATTGTGTATGCACACTTATTCATTCTTTGGACACAAAGAATTCTTAAAGTCACCTGATAAAGTAATTAGGAATTCCTTCCTGAAATTAATGTTTCAAGAAAACACAGAACAAGCCATATTGAAAGAAGCAAACAAAACTACCAATAAAGCATGCCAGAAAAAAGCAAAACAAAAAAAGAATATAAAATCTATATATCCAATAATGTAAAAGTCATAAAACCCACGACCCAATCAAAAAGTATTAGATGTAACAAGAATTAGGAAAACATGACCCAAAAACAGAGGAAAAATAGTCAATACAAATAGGCCCAGTATGACAAATTATAAAATTAGAAAACAAGGACAGTAAAATAGCTATAATTACCATATTCATGTATTTAAATGAAAATATGACATAGTAAGAACTGTAAGATATAAAGAAGAAATAAATAGAACTTCAAGAGATTAAAAATATAATAAAGTAAAAACATCACTGGGTGGATTAACTGAAAAGAAAATATAACTGACCCTGATACCAGAAAAATTCGATTTGTTCCAGTACACAGAAAGACAAAAATAAAAAAACACTCACAGTCTTAGTGAGAATGGAATATATTAAAAAGTTAACAAATATGTAATAGTCCCATAAATGGAGCAAAAAAATGGGTTTAGAACTAAATGTCTAAAAAATTGATGTGAAAAATTGATGAAAACTATGAAGATACAAACTCAAAAATCACAATGAACCTAAAGGATAAGGAAAATAAAAACCACAAAATACATCAAAATTAAATGCCTGGAAAGCTAGTATAAAAAAAATAAAAACATTTCAAAATAGCCCAAGGGAGAAGGGAGACACATTAAACTCAAAGGAACAAATACAAGAACAGTAGATATCTCCTCAGAAACTTTGCAAGCCAGAGGATAATGGAATAGAAGGTTTACAAAGGTTAGTAGAGTTAGCACAGAAGTGCTAAAATAAACAAAACAGTAACCTGGCAACTAAGAAGTCTAATCCTAAAAGACACATCATTTAAAAAATATAGAAGATGAATATACAACAAAAGAATGTAAGACTTTTACAGGGAAAGGGAAAAATCATTAAGACTTAGAGATAGATGAAGAATTCTTACATTGACCACAAAAGCAAAAACTGATAAACTGGATGGACTTCATCAAAATGTAAAATATTTACTACACAAAAGAAAATAAAAGAAGATGTAAAGACAAGCTATATACTGGAAGAAAATATCTGTAAACAAAATACCAAAAAAAACCAAAAAACCTTAATTTTTAGACTATAGAGAGAACTTTTCAAACTCAAGAATAAAAAATAAAATTAAAGCAACCAAAGCAGATACTTCACCAAAGATACCAATGTTGAATAAATATATGAAAAGATGTCAATATCATTGGCCAATAGAGAAATACAAATGAAAACCACAATGTGATAAATCACACATCTACTGAAATTACTTAAAATGAAAAATAGTAATAATACCCAAAGATGGTGAAATGTGCAGACAATGGAACAATCTTACATTGTTAGGGGAAATGTAAAATGGCACAGCTAAGCTGGAAAATTTTGGGGCAATTCTTGTAATACTAAAAACTGAGCAAAAGTGGCAGAGGAAAAAAAAAACCTCCAAAAATTATCTTTTCCATAAAACCAATGAGAATACTCGCAAAATGTTTTAGAAGTTATATATATAGGGATGTGGAAATGAACCCAAGACTTGTGGTAATATAGAGCTAACATGTACGTAAGGGGGAAAAATGACAAGAATGTCTATAAGAATAGTGGGCCATGAGCTTTGTAGTGTTTTCACTAACAATATTCCTTTCTCCCATTCTCCAGCTCTGCAGAAACCTGGAAAACCAAGAGTTCACAACTAAATTGAATAGTAGTACCCTGGGCTAGAACCAAATTGGAGCCCTTTTAAAGTCTCATTCCCTGGAAACTGTCATTATTCAACTTGTCTTAGGGTTCCCCAGAAGACTCTACTTATAAAGCTGTCTATTTATCTTACAAGGAACTAGCCTTGAACAAAATCCCTACCTCAAGTGTTGTAAATTGAAATAAATGACAGATGATTATTTAACTTTACAGATGCCTGAGGCAGTAAGTACCAGATGAAACAAACAACAGACATACCAAAACCCTTAAAAAGAAAAGCTGTCCAGAGGAGCTTTTAAAAGCCTGGCTATTCCTGGGAATCTAGAAAATCACAGGCATACGTGGAGTTGTACACAGGCCATAGCTCTACAAATGCTCAGGTAGGAACTGTAGAGGTCTTACTCTTTCACCTCAGCTGAATTGGAAGTGAAGGCAACAAGTGAAGGCTAAGGCAGAGCTATCAACTGCAGACAACTGAAAGGTGAATGCATGTCACAACAAAGTCCCTCAGTAAAGACTAGTGGACTTAAGAGATTCAATCAGTTAAGGAGTCTCTGCCTAATCATTAGCTGACCACTAATGGTCTTAGAATAGGTCTTCTTAGAATAGGCCTAGAGTAATTTCAAATTAGTTGTCAGTTAGTGATTAGAAAGAGGCCACTAAAATTACTGACCAAATATTTAAAAGGGTGGGGGGATAAAAGGAGAGAACTCTTGCCAACTCATTCTATGAGGCCAATAACACAGTGATACCAAATCCAGGCAAAGATATCATTAAAAAAAAAAAAAAGAAGACTACAGAGGAATATATTCCTTATAAAGACAGCTTCAGAATTCCACAACAAAATACTAACAAACCAAATCCAGAACGCATAAAAGGGATTATACTCCAAGACCAAATGGGATTTACCCCAACAATATAAGGTTGGTTCAATGCACAAGTATTGATCAATATAATATGCCATATTAGGAGAATAAAGAATATAAACTACATGATCATCTCAATAGATGAGGGAGAAAGAAAAAAGCAAACTACAAAATCAAACATCCTTTTAAGTTAAAAAAAAATAATAAGAAGGGAACTTTCTCAACTTTAGAATACCTATGAAAAACAGTTAATATTACACTTAATGGGAACAAAACAAAACAAAACAAAAAAAAAACATGAAAGATTTTCTCTGAGATCAAAGTACCTGCTCTCCTCATTTCTTTTCAACATTCTAAGTTCTAGCCAGGGCAATTAATCAATAAAATAAAAAGGCATATACAGATTAGAAAGGAAGAAGTAAAGGTACCTTTATTGGCAAAAAAACCCCATGATCTTTGTAAACAAAAATCCTAAAAAACAGACACACACACACACACACACACACACACACACACACAATTAGAATTAATAAATTAGTTCAACAAGGTTGCAGAACATAAGATTAACATACAAAATTCTGTTGTACGTTTTTATATACCAGGCAATGAACAATTCTAAATTGTAATTAAAAAGAAAATTCCATTTACAACAGCATCACAAAGAATACATACATGGAATACCTGATAATCAGTTTCTTTCAGGGTAATGAAAATGTTCTGGAATTACACAATAGTAATGGTTGCACAACCTCGTGAATACAAATCACTGAAGTCATATACTTTAAAAGGGTGAACTGTATCTCAATAAAAAGAAATGAAATATGCAATTACCACACGACTCAGCAATTGCAATCTTATCCATTTAACCCAGAGAAATAAAAACTTATTTACAAAACAGCAAGTACACAAATGTTCACAGCAGCTTTATTCACAATAGCCTCAAACTGCAAAAATGTCTTTCAATGGGTGAAGATATCATATTCATATCATGAAATATAACTCAGCAATAAAAAGGAATAAATTGTTAACATATGTAGCAACTTGGATGAATCCCTTATGCTGAATGAAAAAAAAAAGTTAATCCCCAAAGATTATATACTGTCTAATTCCATTTATATAACATTCTTAAAATGAAAAAATCATAGGGAGATAGAGAATAGATTAAATGTCTGCCAGGGTAGGGTTTTTTGGGGGGTGGGGGGATGTTTGATTCTAAAAGTATAGCTCAAGTGATCCTAACATTGATAAAAGTATTCTCTACCTTGACTATCAGAATGATTACACAAGTATATACTGATAAAGGTGGTAAAAATAAACATCAAGAAAACTCCACATAATTAAATATACACTCACAAATGAGTACATGAAAAACTGATGGAACAGAATAAAGTAGTGGATTGTACCAATGTCAATTTCCTGATAGTGATCTTGTACTACAGTAAGGCAATAAGACAATAACATAGGGGAAAAGTGGAAGAGTACAGAATGTTTCTGTATTATTTCTTACAACTACACGTGAACCTACCATCATCTTAAATTAAAAAAAGAAAAAAGGAAATAAAGACTTTTTTCAAGCAAGCCAAATCAGAGAGAATAATATAGGAGTAAGTACATGACTTTTTCACTTTAATTTCCTTAAACTGATCATTTAAATTAAAAATTATAATAATGTGTTTTGCCAGTTATCAGTTTACTATCTCTCAAGTCCTGATTTAACTTCTTTGCTGTCTTTTTTGATCCTGGCGCTGAATTTGTCAACACTTCTCCTTTGCCAATTAGACTAATGTCAGGCTTTCTCAAAAGAGGAGGCTAAAGTGACTCCACAAGTCAAGCAAGAAGTCACCCCCATTCTAGCTCCCCTCCCATTTTTAATTTAGGACCAAAGTCAGATCCAAGTGGTGCTCCCCTCCCCTCTTAGACAACCTCAAGTCACATATTCAAATTATGCTCTCTCCACCTAAAAGCCATTTTTGCAGCAGTTCTGGTGCAGCCTCAGGCCACTGCCACTCTGGGGCTCCTTCTGTAGTAGCTCTGCCACACTCTCTGCCAGCCTGCTACTACAGACCAGTTCCAGACTGCCAACATCTTCCTGCAACAGTGAGCCATTATAACAGACCAGCTCTGGTTTAAGCCATCTGCTGAGTCTCTTCCCCAACAGCAGGCTATATGTTCTTGAGGCAGCCCTGCCATCTATAAAGAGCTCTTAATTCTTAACCTGGGGGTTGCTGCTCTCCTAACAGTCTTTATTACTTCTGTCTACCCCTCAGCCCAGAGGCAGTAGCTGCTTATTTGTATTAAATCCAGTCTCCACAGAGTCTTCCTTAACTTTCTTTAGTACTTAATAACATTTTGCTACTTTAAAATATCTTTATATTGATTTTCCTTATTTAAATTAGGGGTGTGGTTTCTGTCTCCTAACTGGACCTTGACTGACACATACATGCACACACAAATACACACACACATACAATAGCACAAAGAATGGGAAGGATGATCTGGAAGTACTAATGTAAACATCCATATATTACATGTTCATGTAAAGTGGTAATGATATCACATGAAGACAGATTATGTTAGGAAATAGATGTATATCATAAACTTTACAACAATGAAATGAGGTAGAGTTAATGGGCCAATATTGGTACTAAGATGGAATCCTAAACACTAGAATAATTAAAACAAAGGAAAGAAAGGAGGGGAAAAATAACAAAAGACAGTTGGAACAAATAGTAAATAAGATGGCAGACTTAAAACTTAATCAAATCAACAATCACATTAAATGTAAAAGGTCTAAACATGGCATAAAAAGGCCTGGATTATCGAACTGTGCAAAAATGAAAGAACCAACTAAAGTTGATTTTAAAAACTCCACTTTAATTATTAAGAAACAGGTTAAAATAAAAGAATGTGAGTTTCAACTCCAGTATAGCAAAATAAGTTCCCACTGGACTGATATTCTGTCAGGTAATAACTAAAACACCAAGGATAACACACACACACACACACACACACACACACACACACCACAATCCTAAGGCACTGTATAGTAAACAAAAACAAGCCAATTCTAGAGGAAAATCAAAACTTAAATGCTAGAATAGTACTGGGAGAGTTTAAGTTCTTTCTTTTCTTTCTCCCCATCCCTATTTTTTTAAAGAGCATTTAGTCTAGGGAGGGTATAGTTATCATGCAAAATGGCTAAAGGCATATCGAGAAACTGCTGGAAACCAAGGGAAAAAAAAGAAAATCTTGAAAGCCAGAAAAAAAAATTTAAAAAGACATTATGTGTGTGTGTGTGTGTGTGTGTGTGTGTAGAGAGAAGGATTAGAATACTACTGTCATCTCACAAGAATCTAAAAAACAGTCAAAATACTTTTAAAGAACTCAAAGAAAAGTACTGTTGAGCTAAAATTTGACAGTCATTGTATATATAATAGCTTGAGATATAATGTTCCAATCTTCCTATTCATGATTGTTCCACCTTATTGTGTGTAAAATCCACGAGGATTTTTCTTTAAAGTCTGAAAAAGTCTTTAACAAATTTCCACAGTCATTACAAGTAAAATTCTTTGCTAGGAATTAATAGTTGGTAGGCAGCTCAAAGATAGCCTAAGTTGATCTCTACTAGCTGGCATTCACGTCCTATGCAACAGCCTCCACTCAATTGTGGGGCAGACCCAGTAACTCACTTCTCCTGGACAACATAAGAAGAGTAATGAGATGTCACATCCAAGATTAGTTAGAGATTATTACTTCCGTCTTCCATTCTCTCTCTTGCCCTTTTGCTTGCCTGCTCTAATGGAAACTAGTTGCAAGGCTGTGAACTATGGAGAGGACAAGTGGTAAGGAACTGAGATCTTCCTCTGACCAATCAACAGTCAGGAAGAAACTGAGTCCTTCAGTCCAGTAGTCTCCAAGGAATTGAATCCTGGCAACAACCTCCAGAGTGAAAGCAGAAGAGGATCCTTCTTCAGATGAGAACACAGCCCTGGCCAACAATTTTGACTGAAGCCTTGTGGGAGGAGACCTTAAAGCAAATGCATCCAGCTATGCTTAGGCTCAGATTTTAGAGTTCAGAAAATACAAGATAATAAATGTTTATTCTTTGAAGGCACTATTTGTGGAGATAATTTGTTAAGCAGCAATAGATAATACAGGTAGATACTGGCTTAACACAATACACTACCAAAAATCATACCAAATAAAGAAGAGAACAAGAAAAGGAAATGCAAACCCTCCTACATCAAGTAAGAAGATAGTTAGAAAGAAAAATAAATAGAAGATCTAATTTTATCTTCCTTAATATAATAAGTTAGCTGATACTTAAAGTTGATGCATTAAAAAACAAAGGTGTAAACATGTTATTCAGCATTATGGAGTTAACCATCAAAAGAACTAAAACTAATGAAGTGTGGGAAAGAGACCTTCAATGTCTATTTTAAACATTTCATACCATCCAATGCTTATATCAATTACCACATATAGTAGTAGTAATAATAGATTTTTCCAATTACATGGGCTATCCAGAAGGATTCTGTTCCAATATATTGTATCCAGAAAAAGAAAAATGTATCATTCATCACCTTCACTTCCTGAGGTAAGATATTTAAAACACAACTTTAAATTGTAAAAAACAATTCAAAATACTATTTGGCCTAGCAGAACCACAGGTTTACCTATAGGAGCATCATGATAATGATATTAAAAAAATAACAAATTAATACATTAAAATGATATATCCTCTTAACTCAAATGACTTAAAATTATTTCCATTTGTGTTTTTAAAAAATTTGAGTAAACAGACTCACAGTTCCACAAGGTTTGGAAGCTTCTGAGCAAGGTTTTCTGGCTGAAAATTAAAAACTTAGAATTAAATTTTATTTTTGAAAAATGCATAAACATTTGTAATTAAACACAAAGTACCAACTTGTTGAGGGGTGTAAACTTGGAGAAAATTTGAAAAATAATAAATCAGCAGGTCTGGGTTTCATGCTTACATACACCATAATACAATTTATAAACTTGAACACTTAAAATCAATGTCCTTTAGAGAAATCAGAACCTCACATTCCATGGTCATGGAAGAAACAAAAATGTGCTTAAGAGACACAGACAGAAGGAAGAACACCATGTGATAGCAGCCAGAAACTGGAATGATGCAGCTTAAGCCAGGAGCCAAAGATGGCAGTCTGCCCCTGAGGCTGGGAGAAAGGCATGGAATAGATTCTCCCTCAGAGTCCCGTCCACAAAACAAGTGTTACCTCTAGTTATCATGCCTTTGTCATGGCAGCCTGGGAAAGTACTGTACCAGTCAAACTCCCAAGTCATGCCCCCAAAGAAAAAGAAAGAAGAATTTCCAGGGTACCCAGGTACTAAGACCAAACAAGCCTCAGAATGAACAGAGGGAAGCTCACGTAGTCCAACAGAATGTTAAGACCTGACCATAGGTCCTGAGATCAGAGAGGAGGTGAGGTGTGGTGTGGCAGGGAGAGGAAAGTGGCCATCAGGAGAAGTGCCTTTCCCTGGCAAGAATCCTAGAACAATGCCACTCAAAGGTTAAGAGCAGGCTTCTCTCTGCTGGAAGCTGTGGGTAAGGGGGAAAGCTGCAAGCTAGCCTCCACAAAGAGGTACGTGTCAGTGAGAGAGCGCACCAGACACACACGGTTCAAATCTGTATGCACACGGAGATCTAAGATACAAATTGTTAAGATTGAAGAGCACACAAAGTCAAGAAAAAAAATTTTTTTTCATTCTACATTCAAACATAACTGTAGCTATCAATGACAAAGAATCAGGAATGTCCTTTTAGAAGAAATTAGATCTGACTTGAATTCTGAAAGATAAATGAAAATTATAACAGACTGATAAAAAGTGGAGAGGAGTGTAGTTCTAGGTACCCTTCTAAGCATAGGAGGTAACAGGAAAAAGGGGTCTTCAGAGAAGGTTCATTTAGGAAATTACAGATATAATCTTTTCTGTTGTAACTCCATGATAGCAGTCCTAAAGAAATAAAATTTTTTCAAAAATCCTAGTACAAATCAATTATGTCAGTAGAAAACCTGGTCCCCACTTGTAAGGGGGACTAGAAAGCTTTACATTTGTAATTACAAAATAATTTTTCATACAGAAACTTAGTAACAGTGATTATCATCAGGAAAAGGACTAGTATTGCTATTCTCTATCTACTTATTTCAATTTTTAACAATAAACAGAAAAATTTAAAAGATTAAATTAAGCAGGAAAGTTAAAAAAACTAAAATTAAATTTTAATGTGCATGTACAATATAAACTGTTAACTATTTGCCTAATTAATCATACTGTGCACAATTTGAGATCTAAACACTCAACAGGTCAAATCCCATTAGTTTACAGTATTTTAGTCATTGGATATGAAGATGCATAATGGTTTTGCAGAGAATGGCAAGGAATGGATTATTAAGGGCTAGTATTTTATACTAAGAACAACTTTCTTAATCCTAAATACCATGGAAATGCACTGATTTATTTTAGACAAAGCAATGATACTGTTCATTTTGTAATGGCATACAGATGTATTTAAATATTTACCAATAGTATCCCAATGTACTTACATACTTCCTTGCCCTTTTCTGATAAGAAAATCTCACTTAATATGAATGGTCCTATGAAGTATTTATGGGGCATCCACTCTTGACAGAAACACTTTAGTTTTAAAATGATGTAAGCTGTGGGGCTGGGGTTGTGGCTCAGTGGTAGAGCACTTGCCTAGCATGTGTGAAGAACTGGGTTCGATTCTCAGCACATAAATAAATAAAATAAAGGCCCATTGACAACTAAAAAATATTTTAAAAAATAAAATGATGTAAGCTGTGATTCTTTTTCCTCCCATGTTTTGATATTAACACATGTAATAAAGTCCTTCAAAACATCTTTCCTCAGATGTTATGAATTTGTCCAAAATCCCTGGAACGTTTCTTTTAATATTTGTATTTCTTCTAGTAAAAAAAAATATATACGTTTATTTATGGGCATCCATACAAAGTATCCTAGGAAAACTAGAGAAATATTGGTGGGAGTAGCTAAATATAACTACTCATATAAAAAGAAAGACTTGGGCACAAAAGAAATGCTGTTAGACCCTCACCTAGTTTCATCTGCTACAATACAATATCAATATTGTATCTGGCTAACACACCACTCCCAATCATTCTTTCTGGATGCCTATTTGGTTTCATCGGATAGCATTCTGATATGTCCAAAATAAACTCATTAGGAGTTATAGGTGTGTATACACAATTAAGGACTGAAATAATGCTTCTGAAATAACGATGCCAGCAGAGCATCACTATGTCTTTAGTAATAAGCACACTGTATTTTTATTTAAAAATAAGCACAGTGACCTTGAGAAAACTGCAGTTCATTAGAATACTGCCTCTTAAACATACAATAAATAAATAAATCATTTATGAATAAATGTTTAAAAAGCCTGGCAAATGAGCAGCCCATGGCCCAGGCTGTGGTTGACACCTACTGGTGTTCTAAAATATCAGTATATTATTTTTATGTGGTGCTGAGGATCAAATCCAGTGCCTCACATGTGCTAAGCAAGCACTCTATCACTAAGCCATAATCCCAGCCCTTATTGTCTACCTTCAAATATGCTTTTCTTTTAAAGTAATGTAGTTCAAAAATACATGGGAAATTCCATATACTTTTTAATTTTTATACTTCCATAGTTTAGGTACAATGAGTAAGAGATTTTACCACCGTAAGTTCATGTCACAATGTTTGTTGCTGTGCAGGTGACTGAAACCTAATGTTAGGTTATGATTGACACACAAGCTAGTGCCTCCTTATTCACAAGGTTTATAAGCTATTTGTACACGTTTTTAAATTTAAGATTCTGATAAAAGCAATAATTTTAAAGTATTCTCAAATCTGTTCTTACTATTTTTTCCTTCTTTTTTCACAACTTTGACATAGAACTAAGTTTTAACAAATAACCTGCACTCAAATTCCTGGAGCATAAATATCTTTTACAAAACTACTTGAGGGCTGAGGTAGAGTGTTTGCCTAGCATGAGTGAGGCACTGGGTTCGATCCTCAGCACTACATAACAATAAAATATATTGTGTCCACCTATAACTAAAAAATAAATGTTAAAGAAAATTGTTTTTCTAAATTAAGCCAAAGATTCTTTTCATTAAATCCCACTAACATTATCACTTAATAAAACAGTTTGTCTTTATAAATAATGCAAAAGTAAACTTTAGCAAGCAGTTAAAATTTACCTCAAATTTTGAATCAATGCTTAACCATATACTTTCAAACTCCCCTTAACTGGGAATGCTTTTGAAATTTTGTATCTTGGAACAAATACTTGCTATACTATGCAAACAACAACATATTTCATGATGTTCTCAGGTAGGCACTGAGCACCACATACTTCCTGTTCCTCTCTTCAGGAAACCTGGTAGGACTGTACTTCTCTCTTCAAATTGGTAACAGTTAAGTGACTTGCTTTGGTCAGTGAAATTAAGTTCAAGTGAAAGCTTTAAAGAGTTTGAGTGTAAAAGACCTTACCACTGTGATTTCAGATGGCAGAAGCTTTGCCAGGCTTCATCCCCACAGAAGGATACCACAAACCAGAGACAGCAGTGAAGCAGAGACAGCAAACTGAGACAGTATTGAAGTAAGCAAGAAATAATTGTGCTGTAATAAGCCACTAGGGCTCCAGGTTCAGCAAAACCTGCTCCATCCTGACCTGTAACAGCACATTTCAAAGAAGTCACAAAATAAATGTAATTTGGTTCTTGTAGCATTCAAAAAAAGTAGAATCAAGTAGAATGAATTTGATTGCCTAACTCACACTATGCATATACAATAATTAACTCAAAATGGATTAAAAATCTAAATTTAAGAGCTAAAATCATAACTCATAGAAGAAAACATAGGAATAAATCCCTTTGACCTTGGATCTGGAAATGAATTCATAGATATTACACCAAAACCATGAGCAACAATAGGAAAAACAGGTAAACTGGACTTCATAAAAAATTAAAAACTTTTATATGTTAAAGGACATTACAAGAAGTTAGAAAACAACCAGTAGCAGGGCTGGCGGTAGAGCTTAGTAGTAAAGCACTTGTCTACCATGTGTGAGGCCATGGATTCAATACCCACCACTGTTTTAAAAAAGAAAGAAAAGAAAAGAAAAGCTATAGAATGGGAGAAAACATTTTAAAATCATATGTCTGGTAAGGGTTCAGCATCCAGAATACAAAATAAATTCTTATAACTCAATAACAAAACAAAACACAACTCAAAAGAAAAAAAAATGGGCAAAGGAGGAC